GACTCAGTGCCAGCCTTGCTAGTGATCGTGACAACTGCCACTTTACGCCTGCCAACCCTGGGTTTAATTACTGGTCTAGAACTACCCACATCACGCCGCCCACCAGCGACATCATCACGGGAACTCCTGGAACCCCTACGTGAGGTAGAGGGTATAGGGAGCGAAGGAAAGTCCCTATCACCTTTCGCAGCGGGCGCCATCCTCGGTGAGGCAGGCTTACTGTACGTCATTCTAGGGGGAGCAACCTGTTTGTTCTTCACAATTCTGATGCCCTTAGTACGTGGGCTTTTCAGAGGTGGACGAAAAGCTTTATTGTCCAGTGTTTTATCGGAACTTGTATTACGAAACACCCTTGAAGCAATGTATGATGTTTTCTCCAAGTTCGCAGACGGAGGTGGACTCCACGCCGACCCAGCCGATTCTGAAGCCCAGTCCACAGCACGACTCAAGTTACCCAACTCCTTACGGGTACCAACTGTAAGAGACTTAGCAACGGAAGAGTCAGTATCTTCTTGTTCAGCAATTTGAGCTCTAACCTTAGATACTCTGCTGAATGCAGGCACGTTGTTCCGTTCCTGTCTAAGCGTCCGTAACTCTTCTTGTAGCGCTGCCATCGTATTTTTGACACTTTTGAGCTCAGTTTCAGTGTCCTCACTACGCTTACGGATCTCTTTGATCTCAGCCTGAAGCTCCTAATTAACGCGTTGCAGGTGGTTGATGTCACCCTGAGCCTGGACCTTTTCGCTATAGGCGTGGACAACATCTCCCAATTGCTCCAGATACCGCTTCCAACGACCACTAAACGGACCAGAGACATTCTTACTTTTGCCTCGCAGGATTTTTGTTTGATTAATCAGTGACAGGCCATACGAGGCAATTTCGCCATTATTCATAGCGACCAGTTCCTCAATGCTAATTCTAGTAGTGACGTCCGAGTCGCGCGAAATATCCAGATCCGGATTGGTAGTCTTGTTTTTCCCCAATTATGAACTGGGAACCAAAGTACTTTTTTCTTATTTTGAGGTATTTTCTTTTTAGAACCGCTAGCTTTTTGGCTGATCGACAAATCCGATGCAGCCGCATTCGTGTCATCATCATCTGAGATGATAACAGGACTCGATTCAGGTAGCACACCTCTGTCATCAACAGCAGCAAGCCTTTTACTACACCTTTTTCTCCCGGTGTTTCTTGTTTTGCGCAGGACTCTTCTTTCATCTGGTGAGGAGGATCCGGCATCATCCTGACTCGAATCAATAGTAGGCTCAACATCTTCTTCCTTTTCAGCAGCAACATCCTGTTCGTCCTGTTCATCAGAGTTGACTATCATTCTATGCTTACGGCTTCTACTGACCGAAGCAACAGCATCATTTTCAGGCGATTCGTCGGCTTTTCTTTTAGATGCATGATCGGATGGTAACACATCTTTGACAAATTCAACTGAAGGAGTATTAGATCCCACTCTGACAGTCTTAAAAGGATCATATACTGGATCAACATGTGATTGCTGATCACCTGGTGGGTCAGTATTTGCCACCACTACGTCCATCCGTTCATACCCTGCCTCGACCTCAGGTTCATTTAAGACCGCGGTAGCTATATTAACCTGCTCGCCCAACGGCAACGAGCAAGCCAGCTCCTCGTTCGATGACGACAAGGCAGAGCCGGGGACAACAACTCCACCATGCCGGTCGCTGGAGGCTCCGATCACCTCCTGCGACAGTAAGTTTAATTCGTGTTCCTGATTGTGTGCCATATTTGTATAATAATTTGGTTTTTTAAAGGGTGTCCTTCCCCCGTAATCGCAATCCATGGACTCGCCGAGTTGGTATAAAGAAGATCCGTCCAGAGTGTTTTTAGCAATATCGTCAATCATCGAGCAAGAGATAGCGCGAAATTCTTCGCTAATCCTCTCAAGCTCGGCCTTCTTGTCGCTAATCGAGTGTCTCATGTTGATAAGGTTGTCCTCTGCCTTATCCAGTTCGACCATCCTTGTTAGATCCTCAAGCTGTGTTGTCATGGAATCAACCATAATCTGATTAGGTGGTATTGTTTCATTTAAACTAGGCGAGGTATTATTTATCCTGCGTGAGCTAAGTTCGACTTCGTCTATATTCGGTGGGGAATTTATCCTCAAAATACTGTCAAAGCTGAGGTCCTTAATAAGCAGTTCATATTTACACACCTTACCTAATAGATACGAGCGGGCACAAAACATTTTGTAACCCTGATTATATATTATTTTGACGCATGCTTCAATATAGTTCAGGTCTACAAGAATTTCAGAGTAATCACATATCAAATTGTTATTGCGTAACTTAGCAATTGAGCCCATCGCACAACCCAAAAGCATAGTGGGTGTGAGGCGGGCTTTATTTAGGCGTGCCATCAGTTTTTCAATTGACTCCATGTTAGAATTGTATAATTGAATGTCAATATAGGGTGTTACACTTTAGGCAATAATATGTCAAGGTAATTAATTAAAAAATTTTTTTGCAAGGCTCCACTAAAGCTATTATCATAGCATAGAGAACCCATGCAATAGTTATAACACATTGATTGTGTTATCTAACAAATAATTAGTTGAAATTAAAACGTGCCATACAGCAGCAATCAACCAGACCTCAAAATTATTTGAAGAGGAGATGCCGCAAAATTATGCAGACACGCCCAAAGGTTTTGAACAATTGCGCATGGCGATCGAGAAGTGTGATTTGTCAGTATGTTAACTATATACTGTATCGACATACCATTCCATGTATCATAGTCCAAGTGTAACAATATAATAGTCAATTTTGGATCAATACATTATATTTGATTATCACTTCCATTTGTATGATTTAATAAGTTTGTCCAGTAGTTTAGGTTATTGACGTTTATCACTTTAACCGCGAAAAGGTCAAGATTATCAATTTACCAGATTTCACCCTAAGTCTAGTAACTTGGGATATCAGGTAATATATATTGAGTAGTAGGTCTATATTATATTTACATATGTTAGTAATCAGCACTATTTATAGTGCTGATTTCATTTTGACAATCATTTATCACTTTTGTGAAGATTATACACAATATACGATTATTTAGATAAAATTGATCCAATTATATGAGAAAACAATGTTTTGTATACAAAATTACTTTAAAATAAGGAAAAAACTAAAGATTGTCCAATTCACCAAATTTCCCCCAGATCTAGTAACCTGGGCTGAAACGCACAAGAAACATCAAGTTGCATATCTATGCCGCAGTTCGTGTTTATTCGGTAACTTGGCAACACTCCATGTATCATAATTAGAGTTTAACAATGTAATAGTCAGTTTCGGATCAATGCACTAGGTTTAATTATTACTTCATTTATATAATTTAGTAAATTCATCCAATAATTCAAGTTATTAACATTTTTATCACCCCATTGTGTATTAAAGCACAAAAGGAGTAAAGAATATTCAGTTTATCAATTTTTTACTAAATCTGGTAACCTGAGGTTTCAAACAACATATATTAAGTCAAACATCTTTGTTATGTTCACATATGCTAATATCAGCAATAATTTATAGTGCTGATTTCTATTTAACAATCATTTATCACTTTTTGTAAAAATATGTATAATATATAATTATTTTGGTAAAATTAGTCCAATTGTGCAAGAAAACAGTGTTTTTGTATATAAAATCACTTTAAAAGTAAAGAAAACCGAAAGCTGTTCAATTCACCAAGTTTTCCTAGATCTAGTAACTTGGGTCAAAATGTGAAAGACACATCGAGTTTCGCATCTATGTTGCAGTTCGTGATTGTTCAACAGCTTTGGCTACGGGGTTCACTCGTATACCAACAGGTGGCGCGTCGATGTCCGTTTGCCACTTTATTAATCCCCAGATAACAAAATACTTCCACGGTACCGGTACGGAGAGCGTACGTCGTATTTTATGTATCAGTACGGTACCTACCACGTACGTGCGTACCGTAGGAGTACATTACCAATACACCGTATTAGTACGCGGTACGGCTACTGTAGCGCCACTGTATCACCACTGTATATTGAAATAAAATTTTATCATACGCTGTACTCTTATAATACTAGTATGGTATCAGTACGATACCAGTACAACATCAGTACAGTTCCAGTACGAAAAAGGATTTTCGTACACGCTTCCTCCTCTTCTTCCCCTTTTCTTTTTATTATTATTTTATAATTAAAAAAAACAGTAAAATCAATTTTATAATTAAAAAACAATTATTTATTTATCTCATAAAAAATACATATAATTTTTTAAAAAGTTATAAATATATATATGCGTATTTTATATGTTACAATGATGTAATAATGTATATGTATAAAAAAAAATTATATATATAATATATGTACAATACATGTTTAATAACTAATATATCAATTATAAACGCAAAGTACATTTATTTTAATTAAATTATAAATTAAACTATTACCGCTGAAACTACTTGTAACAAGAAAATCCTACACTGGAAAAAAAATTTTGTTGGATTAACAAAAATTCTGTTCGAAAATGGACGAAACGGAATTACTGGTTGAATCTACCAGAATTCCTTTTAATGCAACAAGCATCTACCAGAATTCTTTTTAATGCAACAAGCATCTACCAGAATTCCTTTTAATGCAACAAGCATCTTGTTTGTACAACAAATCAGTTTATTGGTGCAAATAAGATATTTGTTGTATTAAAAGGAATTCTGGTAGATTCAACCAGAATTCCGTTTCGTCCATTTTCGAACAGAATTTTTGTTAATCTAACAAAATTTTTTTTTCAGTGTACTCGATCTTATTTAAGTCCTATTATTATAAAAAAAACCATAAAAATAACAAAACGCTCGTGTATAATTTAAAATTAATAAACCTGAAAAATAGGCCAGATAACGAGTAAAAAATTTTTTTAGATGTAGAAATAATTGAACTTCATCATACTTTTATAATACAAATAAATAAGTTTCAATTATTTCTACATCTAAAAAAATTTTTTGCTCGTTATCTGGCCTATTTTTCAGGTTTATTAATTTTTCCTATTATTATTTTGTTTTTGGGGAAAAGGCCCCATCCCCGCCTTTTCCTGTGAGGCACAACCAAAAAATTTGCCCCTCCATATCTTAAGCCTTGTGTCCACGATCCGAGAATTTGGTCCGAGTTCTCGGACCGAGAAGTTTGTAACCAATCAATTTGCAGCTTTTACAGAAAAGCGGCTATTTTATTGGCTACAAACTTCTCGGACCGAATTCTCGGATCGTGGACACAAGGCTTTACCTGAAACAGAAAACAAATAAATTAGAGGTGAGAACGGCCCCTCCCCGCCGATCCCTGTGAAGCACGTCCCAAATTTGATACTGCTTCTCCAAAGTACTTAAAAAAATATTATGTTGACCATACATTACTTTCTGTTAAGTACTTCAGTACTTCCATATCGTCTACGCGTTCTGTGTCCTCTTGGATCTTATCGTCGTCCACGTAATTTTCCATTTCAGCATCTTCATGGATTTCTTCAGCGATGTTATCCTCATCCCTGGTGAAAAATAAAAATTGTCAGAATTCTCATAAAGATTGCGTAAAATCAGAATATCTGAAAATATCGGAAATATTTTCACAATAAGCAACGTTCTGCTCTGTCTTTGAATGTATTTCATTTATTATTTATAGCGATACAAAAAAATCCAAAAGCGTCATTTTATCTTTAATTTCCATTGAATAATAATGTATATTAACGTAAATCGCATTATTTGATTCTATTTTTTTATCTATATAGCAAAAAATAAAGATATAATATAATATTAACATTAATTTATATCTCTATATAAATATTATGAAATGCATTCAAAGATAGGACAAAATATAACCCCCATAGCAAAAACACCAGTAATATCATAGTGATATGTTCTAGATGTCATTAACGATATGCGAATGTCCGCTTTATCACAATAAGTGTAATGTCACAATGATATCATTGTGACACAAGCGGACATTCGCATATCGTTAATGACATCTAGAACATATCACTATGATATCACTGGTGTTTTTGCTATGGGGGTTATATTTTGTCCTATCTTTGAATGCATTTCATAATATTTATATAGAGATATAAATTAATGTTAATATTATATTATATCTTTATTTTTTGCTATATAGATATAAAAATAGAATGAAATAATGCGATTTACGTTAATACATCATTATTCAATGGAAATTAAAGATAAAATGACGCTTTTGGATTTTTTTGTATCGCTATAAATAATAAATGAAATACATTCAAAGACAGAGCAGAACGTTGCTTATTGTGAAAATATTTCCGATATTTTCAGATATCATTGTGACATTACACTTGTAACACAAGCGGACATTCGCATATCGTTAATGACATCCAGAATATATCACTATGATATCACTGGTGTTTTTGCTATGGGGGAAATATTACAAAATGTAATAAAAAAATAGGGTAAAATGTAAAAACATACATTTCAGAAATATTCATTAATCTATATATATATATATATATATATATAGATTAATGAATATTTCTGAAATGTATGATGTTTTTACATTTTACCCTATTTTTTAATTACATTTTGTAATATTTCCCCCATAGCAAAAACACCAGTGATATCATTATTAATTAATAATAAATTCTGAAAAATTATTACAAAAAATTTAGATTTTTAAAACATTTTTGAGGAAATTATAAAAAAAAATTTTAAGGAATATTTAACATTTATATGTATACATGTAAAAAATTTTTATAAAATTTATAATATGCAAAATAATTCAATACTATTGTCAGACTATTTATGGATAATTTTAAAGTGTTCTATTTAATATATATTGCGACCGTCTCTCCGCCCTCTCTCGTCAAACGAGAGAGAGAGTGCGAGAGAGACTGCTGCGCAACCTCGTCGTGCCGCTCTCCGTTCTCTCAATACTTGCTCGGTATCACTAATTGCTCGGTATCGTATCTTTTGGGCGCCAGGTGCGGTCAGGCCGCACCACTCAACAATATCTCGGTAAATAATCAGCGGACACGACGGCTCGGCCTCGGTAGCTCGGTATCACCAGGGGGTAGAGTGTCGTGGTTCTTTCCGTAAGGAGATTCGGAATCGCAGTCCCGGAGAGAGAGAGGAAATCTCGATATTGATTGTACTCAGAAATAAGATAAAATAAGAATATATTTTCAATTAATAGCATATAAATAGAGTGAATGAAAATAACTATAACACTATTATCGAGCCGTAGGGAGATCGCTGGGTTTTCTCGAAATCTTAAGGGTACGATTACATGGACGCGCGGAAACGCGGAAACGCGGAAGAGAAAGTAACTAAACTTTACTAGAGTCCCGCATTTCCGCGCGTTCCGTTCCGTCTGTTTTGATTGCCTTATATTACATGGAGCACATTTTGAGCGGAAAAGCGGAACGGGGAATTATAAAATATTAATATTTAACTATATTTATTGATTAAAATGCTTGTATTCAATAGATAAGTTGAAAAGATGAACATATTAAAAGGAATTACAATGAATTAAGTAAATATAAATTTAAAAAATTAATACAAATGTCTATTTGTCACTATACCGTTCCGCTGTTCCGCGGAAATTGTGCTCCATGTAATATAAGGAGAAACAAACTCGCGGAACGACCGCATCAAAATCTGTTGTCAATGAAGTGTGTACCATAAAATTTCGGAGTCGATTGAAAAAGAAAGTTTTCATACTTTGATTCTTTTAAAAGTTGCTGTGTTATATGGATCCAAACTTGATGTTGATGATTATTATAAAGTATCTCATACGATCAAGGAATGAACCGATGAGATATGCTAAGATAAGAAAAAAAGTTATTTCAATGTTTTATTTGTATTTGCGTTATAAAAAATTGCAAGACAAAAAAGATCGTGCAATGTGGGTACGGCCTATTTTTATGCAGAGAAGAAGACTTCTGCAAGGTGCCAGCGACAATCTAGTTGTGGAAATGCGATTGACAGATCCGGAAAAATATTTCAATTACTTCAGAATGTCACCAACAATATTTAACGAATTACTCAATATTGTTGGTCCACTAATTGAAAAACAACATGTAGTTCGAAAACCAATACCAGCCAGAACAAGATTAGAAGTGACTCTACGATGGTTGGCATCTGGCGATAGCATGACATCGCTATCGTACGCTTTTCGCATTGCCCAATGTACGCTATCACAAATTATTCCGGAAACATGTCAAGCAATTTGGATCTCTTTACAGGAGAAAGTTATGATTGACCCGACTGAAGAAAACTGGAATACAATTGCAAGAGACTTTGAAGCAATATGCCAATTTCCAAACTGCATAGGCGCTATCGATGGAAAGCATGTCATAATTCAGGTATGTATATTACAAATAATAATATTAATTTAGGTTTAATATATTATATTAATAATGTAATGATGTGTGACGACCCGATTAGCCGTCACTAGTCGCCCGCGCTCGTGTAAACGGCCCCTTTCGGGGCCACCACACGAATACGTTGGGAATCCGCCTTTTCGCCCCCACCCGTCACTCGACCCCCTCCAAGCTAGTCTTAGAGTGGGGTGGCCGACGGGTATAAAGAGCGGCGCAGCCGAGACTTCGACACCAGTCCCGTCCTGGTCCCTCGAGCGTACTCAGGGATCACTCCTCAACTCCCACACTCCAACTCACCCCGGCCGACGAGCGTTCTCGTCGTGCAGGCCGAGCGTTCTCGGTCACCGGGTCCTGTCCGTAACTCACCCCGGCCGACGAGCGTTCTCGTCGTGCAGGCCGAGCGTCCTCGGTCACCGGGTCCTGTCCGTAACTCACCCCGGCCGACGAGCGTTCTCGTCGTGCAGGCCGAGCGTCCTCGGTCACCGGGTCCTGTCCGTAAATCACCCCGGCCGACGAGCGTTCTCGTCGTGCAGGCCGAGCGTTCTCGGTCACCGGGTCCTGTCCGTAACTCACCCCGGCCGACGAGCGTTCTCGTCGTGCAGGCCGAGCGTTCTCGGTCACCGGGTCCTGTCCGTAACTCACCCCGGCCGACGAGCGTTCTCGTCGTGCAGGCCGAGCGTCCTCGGTCACCGGGTCCTGTCCGTAAATCACCCCGGCCGACGAGCGTTCTCGTCGTGCAGGCCGAGCGTTCTCGGTCACCGGGTCCTGTCCGTAACTCACCCCGGCCGACGAGCGTTCTCGTCGTGCAGGCCGAGCGTTCTCGGTCACCGGGTCCTGTCCGTAACTCACCCCGGCCGACGAGCGTTCTCGTCGTGCAGGCCGAGCGTCCTCGGTCACCGGGTCCTGTCCGTAAATCACCCCGGCCGACGAGCGTTCTCGTCGTGCAGGCCGAGCGTTCTCGGTCACCGGGTCCTGTCCGTAAATCACCCCGGCCGACGAGCGTTCTCGTCGTGCAGGCCGAGCGTCCTCGGTCACCGGGTCCTGTCCGTAAATCACCCCGGCCGACGAGCGTTCTCGTCGTGCAGGCCGAGCGTCCTCGGTCACCGGGTCCTACCTGAAAGTCACCGGCGCCCGACGGAGCTCGCCCTTCTCAGGGCGCCCGTACGCGTGTCCGCGTTGGAAACTCTAGCAATAAGTCGTGTCCGCGTCCGTATAATCTGGTCGCGTCTCGTCCGTAATATTTCTATCCGTCAATCCTAGCAATAAGTCGTGTCCGCGTCCGTATAATCTGGTCGCGTCTCGTCCGTAATATTTCTATCCGTCAATCCTAGCAATAAGTCGTGTCCGCGTCCGTATAATCTGGTCGCGTCTCGTCCGTAATATTTCTATCTGTCAATCCTAGCAATAAGTCGTGTACGCGTCTGTATCATCTGGTCGCGTTTCGTCCGATTATACTGTGCTGTGTATAATGGTTTGAATCACGGGAGAACCACAGGAAGGTGGCCCCGAATAAACTCTACTTTTACCAGAGCAACCGTGTGTCATTGTAAATCTGAGTCTCCCCTCTTCCCGAATCCTGGCACCGACGAGCCGATCCGTGGCGTCGGGAAAGGTGCTTCGTTACATGGCGCCCGAACAGGGACCTGACTCGACCGTCTGAGACTCCGGTTTGCAATCCACATGCTTGGGTGGATCTACCGCCTAGATAAAGAGGAAGCCGTCCGATACCTCGCCACCCGCGATCTAGACCCAGAAGGGAGATTAATCGACCTCCGCCGCCGCATAAGAGACCACGTAATGGCCAATCAGCCAAACACCGGAGCGGCCGAAACGCTCCACGCACCGCTTAGCCGCGAAGAACGTTACCGGAGTGCACGCGGAACCCCCGAACCACCAGAAGCCGACCCGGCTAAGGCCCTCAACCAGATACGCAAATGGGGATGCCATTTTGATGGTAAGGACCCCCTCGCTTTCCTCGAGCATCTGGAGGAACTCAGTGTGGCCTATGGTCTGGAAGACCACAATCTTCTCACCGGTCTGTCCGAGCTGTTAAAGGGCGACGCCCTTCTGTGGTGGCGAAACACCAGAGAACAGTGGTCCACATGGGCCGGGTTCCGAAAGGATTTCTTGGCCCAGTATCTATC